GGACGTCAATACTCGTGGGGTGTTGCCGAGGTCGAGAACGAGGACCACTGCGACTTCAAGAAGCTGCGATCGATCCTGATCCGAACCCACATGCTCGACCTCATTCACACCACCGAGGAGCTGCACTACGAGGCCTACCGCGCCCAGCAGATGGAGACTCGCAAGTTCGGCGAGGCCCGCCCACGCAAGCTCGACAACCCCAAGTTCAAGGAAGAGGAAGAGGCTCTCCGCAAGCGCTTCACCGAACAGGTCAAGATCGAGGAACAGCGCTTCCGCCAGTGGGAGCAGAAGCTCATTGCCGAGCGCGACCGCCTCAACAAGGATCTCGAGCAGACCCACTCGCAAATTAAGCAATTGGAGGCTGAGCTGGAGAGCATGCAAGGCGCCGCAGTCCGCAGCCACGGACGTCGATAGATTCTCATTTATCATCTCATTCACTGCTGCTTAGCAGTTATCAGCGGTTGTTTCACGCCTGCCACTCCTGTTAGGGGTTTCGGAGTTGAAAATGAAAGGGTCAAGAATACCATTACGAGGACGAATTTTGTGAGATATTCTTGGCGCCTGTGCCCTGGGATTAACGTATAATCTCATGGCTCTAATGGTCAAGCGGGTAATCATCACCGTTTCCTTGGTTCTCATTGTCTCTAGAAGGCGTGTCAAGCAATAGACGTAAAGTCGAGTTTTACGAAGTTCGGTGCTTTCTAGAACGGACAAGCAGAGCCGGGCCTCTTGGTGGTAATTTTTGGAAGTTTTGATAGTCATGCCATATTATTTTTATTACTCCTTTTTACTCGCAGCTAGCTATATCTTAGTTTCGTGATGTAATTCATCAACCTCTCACACTTTCTCAATTTAGTAACTTTTTCTGCAACAACGAGGACTCAATTCTTAAAATGGTAATTCTGTGTATTCTGCGATGTCATTTATGAGAGAAGCTATGCATTATATCATGAAAAATCCAATACCACCCTCGAACCCAAGACAAGATTGGCCCTCCCTTGTTTACCTTCATCCAGAGAATTCATTTACCCAAGCATCTCAGCTTTGACTCCTTATTTAGATATAGAACAAAATGCAGCGGTGAATGTAAAAGATGACGCCCTTATACAGAATCCATCGTTGCCCTGGTTGCGAGCTGCTCGTTCTTATTACCGAGCCTGGATATCTGCAAAAAGGCATCGACACCGTAACCCTCCAAGCTGTGAAGCTCAAGGCTCCCGGCCCAGTACTCGGCATAGACACGGCTCAGCGGCAGCCCCATCCCTAGACGCAGGTCAGGCGGCCGGCTCGTGAGGGATGTCAGGGAGCTCTGGTAAGGCGGGGTCTTCAGATCCGCACGACCCAGCTCCTCCTCTACGTGGAGCTCCTGGAGTGTGGCAGCCATCTTGGGCACCTTGCCGAGGTTCTTCAGGCGCTGCTTGCTCAGCGGGCCTTTGCTGAACGCCCACAGGTAGGGGAGTTCCTCCCGCGGGATGCCTCCGCCACGGTCCGATATCCTGATTGTGGCGTGCTGGGGCGCCTCAGCTACGGTTACCTCGATTGGCGGAGGGTCCGTGTTTGGATCGCCGTGCTCGCGGTGACGGTCGATGACAGCCTGCACGGAGTTGCGAAGGAGCTCCCCAATGATGTATTCCAGGTGGCTGAGGATGTAAGGGAAACTGGTGTCCAGGTGACCCTCGATCTTGATTTCTGGGATCTTGACATCGGGTGGGTTGGTAGACTTGGCGATCTTGTGTATCGCTTTTGCGCATGTCTCTATGGCGTCCTTCGCATTGCACTTGACGAAAACCTCGCCTATGAAGTCGGACTCGGAAAGCTTTGCGCCGGGTGAGAAATTGGGCGAGTTGTACGTTTCTGTGAGAGAGAGATGCTGCTCTGCAATAACGCGGCGGGATATCCTCTGTATGAATTCTTGTAAGCCCAAGGTCCGTTCAACAACTCGATTAGGTATCCTTACGGATTTCAGAATGGTATTCATGAACTTGTCCATCTCTTTTGCGTCAACCAAGCCTTCGCATTCGAGGATGCCCATTGCTAGTTTGGGTATGACTGTCAGATGCTTCTTGAGATTGCTGCTGATCACCTCGCAGAGTCGGTCGTTGTCCTCCAGAGTCTTGACCTCGCGGACATTTCGAAAGGAGTCGAAGGCTTCGTAGTATAGGTTGTATACATCGTTTATGTGGGGGTTGGTGACAACAACATATGGCAGCTGCTGCATATCGCGGAGACGATGAGCAATTCTATGTCACAGTCAGCCAGTTCGAACTTCGCACAAGCTGTTACAAGGGAGAGCTTACCGGGTCGGAAGTTCGGTGCGCACATAGTTGGCGGAGCTGATCAGTCGTGACTCAGTCAGCGATCGACCGAAGACCATCAACTGTCGAAGACTGATTGGTCGCGCTTCCTTCGCCACCCATCTACAGTCAACAAGGCACAGTTAGAAAACTGATCGACACAATAGACAGGCGCCGGGGAGCCTATGTACTCATCCAGGATATGGGCTGGTCGCCATATTGCAGTAAATGGCCTGGAGGGGCCTCGGCTGGTGGCGAGAGGGCCGGAGTGGCGGAGATAGGATGGGACAGTTGGACGAGAAAGAGAAGATGTTGCCGATGCGACTGCTGCTGTCAGGTTGGTGCGTTTGCTGGAGTTGCGCAGCACGTTGGAGAACATCCCAACGGTTCCATACACATGTGATATGAATGGGAAAATGTGGACTCTGTCAACGAAGCCTATCGGCAGGTCGACGGGACGGTCGTGGCATGGGATCGAGCTCGAAAGGAGGGCCAGCGAGCCGACTGGGTGGCAAGGAGAGGCTTCTTCGTGTGCGGCACCTCTCCGTCAGTCGGTTGGGCAATGCGTGCAAGCTGCTCGTTCTTCAGTAAGTGAGGGATGAAGTATGACGACTGGGGCGGCTCTCCAGATTCGGAGCTCCAGCTGAGTTTGGAGGTACTTGGGTACAAACTTGGCACAAACCCCACACCTGCGAGCATCGGCCAAGGTGAGGTTCACCTTGGGTCAGGAGCTGGAAGAGTCATAACGCAGCCCCTGGTTTTGGTTGTATCTGACAAATCCAGAGGAAACGGTGCGATAGCCCATTTCAGTGGGATACGACGGCGGTCAAAGATCACAGCTCACTCGCACACTTTCTCTATGGAGAGCTTACAGGCTGCTCTCCCCGCTTACACGGTATACGGCTGCTACATGCGCCTAGGAAGCGATACTCGTAGTGCAAGTAGATGCGGCATCAATCATTGGAGTGGCACTCAATCATTACTTCAATGCAGCGATCCAGATACAGCTGATCGACAGATATAGTGTTGGTCAATGGCTACCTAGCAATCGTAGAGGACAAACGACAAGCTGTTTTGCTCACAGATCCCACTGAGGGAGGCAAACCCAGGATGAGAAGCCCGGGGCCAAGTGTGTGGTTCCGCTGTGCCGGAGGGTGATAGCATGGGCACACCATGCAGTCAGCGTGATTGAGAGCAACAGAAGTGATGATGTGCTGCCTGGGGTAGGACCTGCTAATTTAGGAAGCATGTGATTGAGGTCTACGCATCTCGATCATGCCTCAGAGTGAGTGCTGTGCTGGCTCCAGGGAAACTCCTTCAAATAGGAAAGCACTCTGCGTTTCACTCAAGCACGTCAATGCAGGACGTACGCGAACATCACAGCAATGGGCAAGCATGAGCTACCTGTGATAGGCAAGTCGCAACGTGCATGCATTGGTGAAGGATGGAGGCTTTTACGCAGCAAGCACGCCTATGAGAAACGTCATTTGTAGCTGGCTGGAGGGGCAAACGTTCAACCCCCAAAGCCGCCTGTAGTAGCCTGCTGAATACGCCACACCTCACGAAGCGGTTTAGCACCGCCCGCTAAAAGCCACCACGTCCCCGCCAAAGGACGCGCTGTTGTTTGGTGCTACACGGGTCCAGGTAGCAGTGGGGGGTACGCACAACGCTGTGCAGGACGATGTCACTCCGTCCATGATGAGCAGGAAATCCTAGCCTCCATGTCTGCCCATCAGCAAGGCCAGTGCCTGTCTGTGGCGTGAATCCATCTCCAGCTTGGCCCACAGATGCCTTCTGTCAGTAGCAGTGTCTAATTCCACGTAGTCGACCGTACTATATACTTAACATACCATACCATTGCTCAACCACGGCATCGTCTCCTAAGGCCACGGACCGGTTTTGCCCCCGCATTCGAGGACTCGCCCTAACGTAACTGCTGCCGACGTTCCTCCTAGACCTACCCGCTCACCTCCCGTACCTCCAGCGAAAGCTTTGTCCACCTAGCGAGAGCGGCCCTTGACCGATTGAATGCGACGCAACACACACACAGCCAGTTCCTGGACGAGTCGGAGCTGCTGTTGAGAGCGAGCTGCGGAAGCTCTGCTGGAGAAGAAAGACCACGGCACCGGACGACCCCCACCTCCAGCCCTGCCGAGCTGAAATTCGTCCGTCACATATCTGTGCGCGACTGCTGCATTGCCTCTCTGCCCGGAGCTCCTGCCTGTGCGCCCAACAGAAAGATGGTGAGTGGCTGCCTCTGCTCCTCCTTCCTCACCCTCCTCCCTACCTGCCGCTTCTTTGTCTGCTTTCCCTCCTGCCTGCACCTGCGCATTCTGGCAGCAATCTCGCTTGCCAAGCTGTTTCCTTGAGCGCCGTGTTTTGCTGGTCACGCCCGCCTGGCTGCACCTACCCACGCTCACGCCCGCCTCGACGTCACCATCCTCACATCTCACCCATCACCACCACCACCACCACCACCACCACCAACCCAAACCAAACACCCGCACCAACTTCTCACGCGTCCCGAGCATCCCTCGCCACCTCATGTCCCCTCCTCTGCTATTTCTGCCTTGATCCGATTCGAATACCATTTTCTCCATGACATTCTTTTCTTCCCATTGCCAGTTCGCTTCATGATCTCACCATATTCCCCACCTTGCAACTCGCCTCACTTCTCTCCTTTTGCTCCCCCAACTCTCTACTACCATGGCGATCTCCAAGCAAAACCTGCCCATCCGAAGCATAACTAACCAACCCCGGCCGGATGACCAGGCTTACAATAACGCTCCTTCACCTAACGAGATGGTGGTCGACACCGGTGACTACCTCGACGTCGACAATGACCCGGAGAAGGACCCTGTAGCCATCATCAGCCCCGAAAACCTTGACCAAGAAGCCGATCAACTTCAAGATCTACCCGTCGCCGATGACTGTGCGTAAATCCTCTCGCATGCATTCCCGTATGCCTCCAAGACTGGTTTTTGCTAACCCCGGGGCTTTATGATTTCAGATGAGGCTATGAAAGAGATTGTTCTCCCACCACTACTTGACGAGCCGAACATCATCGACGACTACACAGATAACTGGACTGTTACAAATTGGCGAAATCTCGGAAAGCGTGAACATGGCCCAACATTCCAAGCAGGAGGATATCCTTGGTATGACTTTGGCCGCCGATCGTATTACCCCCATGGATGTTCCTGTTGCTAATGATTCGTTCTTAGGCGAATCCTGCTCTTTCCACACGGCAATAATATCGACCAATGCTCCATCTACCTTGAACACGGCTTCGAACCAAATGAAGTACCTGAAAACTGGAGTGCATGCGTCCAATTTGGTTTGGTTCTCTGGAACCCGAACGACCCTAGTATATATATCCACCACTCTGCCCATCACCGATTCACTAAGGAGGAAGGCGATTGGGGCTTCACACGATTTGTTGAGCACAGACGGATGTTCAACGTCCCCTGGGAGGGAGGCACCCGGCCATTGTGCGAGAACGACACCGCCAACATCACAGCTTACCTTCGCTTTGTCGAGGACGAGACTGGTGTACTATGGCACAATTTTAGCAACTATGACTCCAAGAAGGAGACTGGATATGTCGGCTTAAAGAACCAGGGAGCAACTTGCTACCTCAACTCACTTCTACAGAGTCTGTACTTCACAAACGCATTCCGACAAGCCATCTACGAAATTCCCACCGAGAACGACCAGAGCAAGCAGAACAGTGCATACACATTACAGCGCTTATTCTATCAACTTCAGACCTCTGAACAGGCCGTTGGAACCAACGAGCTCACGAAATCGTTTGGTTGGGAAACCCGACACATTTTCGAGCAGCAGGATGTGCAAGAGCTATCCCGTAAGCTAATGGAGCGCATGGAGGAGAAGATGAAGGGAACAAAAGCCGAGACAGTACTTCCCGAAATGTTCAGCGGGAAGATCAAGACCTATATTTCCTGCATTAATGTGGACTACGAATCGAGCCGAATCGAGGACTTTTGGGATATTCAGCTCAACGTGAGCGGCAACAAGAGCCTCCTCGACAGTTTCAAAGACTACATTCAAGTCGAAAAGATGGAAGGCGAAAACCAGTACTTTGCCGGCGATCAACACAAGCTGCAGGATGCCAACAAAGGTGTCATCTTCACCAGCTTCCCCGACGTGCTGCATCTCCAGTTAAAACGATTCGAGTACGACATTCAGCGCGATATGATGATGAAGATCAATGATCGATATGAATTCCCAGAGACTTTTGATGCGGCGCCCTACTTAGTGGAGGATGCTGACAAGTCTGAGCCCTGGATTTATCAGCTACATGGTGTGCTGGTCCATAGTGGCGATCTTAATGCCGGTCATTACTATGCTTTCATCAAACCCGGAAAGGACGGCTGGTTCTACAAATACGATGACGATAAGGTGACCAAGGCGACTCTTCGCGAAGTTCTTGAAGAAAATTTCGGAGGAGAATACAGAACACCCAATGGGTACCCTCGAGCACCCTTACAAAAGAAGGCCCCTATCATCCGCCAGAATAGCGCGTACATGTTGGTGTACATTAGGCAGTCGAGAGTTGAGAAGATTCTCAGACCTGTCACTCAAGATGCCGCCCCGAAACATCTACAGGATCGCTTTGAGGAGGAGACAGCCTTGAAGGAGGCTCGAGTCAAAGAGCAAAAGGAGGCACATCTGTATATGATGGCTAAAGTCGTGACGCCTGAATCATTTAAGAATTATGGGGGCACCGATATGTGCTCATTCGAGAGCAACCCGGATACTGACGTTGCTGCTCCCAAATCTTACCGTATTCGACGATCTATGACCATGGAGGAATTTTCTGCGCAAATCGCAGCTGATATTGGTCAGGATCCAAAGCGAATTCGTCTCTGGCTCATGGTCAATCGCCAAAATAGAACCGTCCGGCCCGATCAACCTATTATGGATCTTACCCCAACTGTAGAGGAGATCTATGCCAGATCCGCGGCCCACCGTGATTCAGCTCTGCGTCTGTGGGTCGAAGTCTCCAATGAGATCAAGGAGAATGGAGATGTCGCCTGGCCGTCATTCCAAAGCCAGCCAAATGGCGCTGTCGTTAAGAGCGACATCATACTCCTCTTGCTCAAACACTTTGATGTCCAAGCCCAAACGCTCAACGGCGTAGGCCATGTGTACATTTCCAAGGAGAAGAAAGTTGAAGATCTCGTTCCATTCATTTTGGAAAAGATGGGGTGGACGGAGAAGGTAGCTGAGGAGGAGAAGCTTCTTCTTTGGGAGGTAAGAATCTACTGTTCGATTCGAACAAGGAAGCTACCAGTGAGGCAATGCTAACGAGTGATAGGAAATTAAACCAACAATGATCGAACCTCTCAAGCCCAAGCAGTCATTGAAGGCAGCTGAGCTTCAAGATGGCGACATAGTTTGCTTCCAACTTGGTTCTGAGCGTAAGGCTGGGGAAACTGTTGCCGAGGAGCCGTGAGTTTACTGTACTCGGATTATAATATCAAACATGCTAATTCTTGACTCAGCAACGCAACACTGGACACTTTTGAAGATGCAAGGGAATACTACGACTTCCTTGAGCACAGGAGAACGGTCAAATTTTTGCCTCATCCTTCAAAAACAGACCAGTCGCAGTTTGCGCCCTTTGAACTTGTGCTCAATTCGAAGATGCAGTACGACGCTCTTGCTGAGCGTGTCAGCACGCAAATTGGCGTTCCTCCTACACATATTCGCTTCTGGACTGTCAATTCGGCGACCAACAATCCCAAGACCCCTGTGAAGCGAACCACCAACCCCAATCTTCGTCAGATCCTCAATCCCATGGCCAACAGCTTCAATTCAAGCCAACGCAACGATGCATTCTATCTAGAGATTCTCGAAATGAGCTTGGCCGAGTTCGACACCAAGAAGAACATCAAGGTCACCTGGCTACCAGAAGGAATCACGAAGGAGGTACAAAACAAACATTTCCCTTCCTCACATGTGCGAAGCGATTAAAATGCTGACACCATCATTAGGAGCAATTCGATATTCTGGTTCCCAAGACCGGCAACATCGAAGATCTAGTCCAGGGCCTGATTAAGAAAGCCCAAATTCCCGATGAGACCGAAGGCGGTAAGATCAGGATATATGAGACCAGCTCGAATAGGGTCTACCGGGAGCCTCCCAGAGACCATCCTGTTCTGAATCTTAGCGAGTACACTCAGATCTATGCCGAGCGTGTCCCCGAAGAAGAACTCGTAGCAGACGAGAACAACTTCATCCAGGTTTTCCACTTCCAGAACGAAGTTAGCAGGACCCACGGCGTTCCCTTCAAATTCCTCTTGCTCGAGGTATGGCATTTTTACTCCATCAGAGGCTCAAATCGAAGATTGTTCCTTCAATACTAACAAGGCATGTCCTTCATAGAACGAAGTTTTCTCGGACACAAAGAAGCGGCTAGAGAAGCGCACAGGCCTTAAAGGCAAGAGCTTTGAGAAGATCAAATTTGCCGTTGTCCGCCGAGCGAACTATTCGCAACCGCAATATCTCAACGATGGTCAGCAGTGTACCCGTCATCTCATTTTACTCGCTTGCTAACATTTGATGATGAAGATGATCAACTTTGGAATGCGGCTTCTTCAGAAGATGACTACCTCGGCCTGAATCATGTGGATAGAACAAGGTCAGTTAGGAATGGCGCAGGTGACCTCTTCCTTCGATAAACAGCTTTATTTGCATTGGTGGGATACCCGTTCCAGAAGGCCTTAGTTTTGGGTACTTGGGTGTCGCAGCTCGAATTCGCAGTTGTAAAGATACATACCTAGGTCTCAAAGATGTTGGAGGCGAAGTCATCATGCTATCGGACCTGTATGAGACACGTTGAAATGGTGCTGTGTATAAAGAAAGTGGCGCTGTGGGAGGTGTAAACGGTTCCATGAACGGAATCCGTTGCCTAGAGAGCGAGATCCTACTAATACTCACTCGTGCCCCTGTGTTGGAATAGAGGCCGTATTTAGTGGAGGCTCGATTCTTGCGTCTTTGCCTATTTCTCACTCAATATACTCCCTAGCCAGCGTCTTCCACGCAATGAAAATAGCAGGTGCTATTTCAGAATCGCAGGTTCACTCACGAGAACCGAACCAGATCGGCCATGGTTGAATAGGCATCAATAGACTTACATACATATATATGCATCAGGTGCTGTCTGGTACATGTCATGCATATATATCCCAATATCCTTTTTGAAGCCAAAGCCAAAAGAGAAAGTATCATTTCATATCTATTGACGTATGTTGTCTCTATCCATCACTCGCGAATTTTCTAACCCAAACCTAATATGCACTGATATCGAGTGCTATGACAAGAAAAAAAAAAACCAGAAAAATAAAGATAAAGGCCAGTTCATTATGTTCAGTTAGACATCTTTCTCTCAAGCTCTTCGCCAGACATGTGTGCACCGGCAGTCTTGAGCAACTGAGCACAAGCATCATTCCCGGACAGGATGGCAAGCAGGAGCGGGGAGATGTTGGCACGGTTACGCTCGTGGACGCTGGCGCCGCGCTGGAGGAGCGCACGCATGATGTCGGCGTTGCCGGAGACGGCGACGAGGTGGATGGCAGTGTTACCGGCGTAGTCGGCCTGCTTGATGAGGTTGCGGCCGTCGCCGTCGAGGAGGTCGAGGACGGCCTCGATGTTGTCCTGCTGGATGGCGTAGCCGAGGGCGGCGAAGGCGGCCTCGGCGGGGGAGAGCTTGGCGGCGGCGACGTCGAGGGAGCTGCCCGGGTGGGAGAAGGTGACGCGCGGGGTCTCGGTCATCTCGCCCCGGATGGAGCGGGAGAGGTGGGCGGCGATGTCGTCCCTGGAGCAGCCGGGGAGGGCGAGGAGGTAGGAGAGCTTGGTGAGGGCGGCCTCGACGGTGAGGTCGAGGCCGAAGATGACTCCCGCGCGGCCGAGCTGGGTGCCCGCGGCGTAGACGGGGGAGACGAAGCCCGAGACGCACTGGGAGACATTTATGATGATGACGCCGCGGTCGATGGCGTCGCGGAGGACCTTGGTGAGCTGGCCGTCGGAGCCGCCGGGGACGTTGCCCATGCCGAAGGTCTCGAGGATGAGGCCCCGGAGGTCGGGGAGGCGGAGGACGGCGTCGACCATCTCGGGCTTGATGCCCGGGAACACGCGGAGACAGGCGACGTGGGTGGTGTCGATGTTGGCGAGGATGTCGAACTCGGCGATGGTGGTCGGGCGGAAGGTCAGGGGCCAGTTGACCTCGATGCCCAGGCCGTTGACCTTGGCGAGGGGCTCGCAGTTGGGGCTGGCGAAGGCCTCGAAGGAGGCGGCGGAGACCTTCGTGGTGCGGTTCCCCCGGTAGAGCTTGTGGTGGAAGAAGAGGCCGACCTCGGGGATGACGAAGGTGCCCGCGATGATGAGGGAGCCGAGGAGGTTGCCGACGGCGTCGGACTGGAGGGCGAAGATGGGGGCCTGGGAGCCCGTGAGGATTACGGGCTTGCCGAGGTTGGACATGATGAAGGAGAGGGCGGAGGCGGTGTAAGCCAGGGAGTCAGTGCCGTGGAGGATGACGAAGCCGTCGTAGAGGTGGTAGTTCTCCTTGACGGAGATGGCGATGTCGGCCCAGTCCTGGGCGTTCATAGAGGAGGAGTCGAGGAGCGGGCTGAACTCGACGATGCCGTAGCGGACATGGCGCTGGTAGGCTGTGGGAGGGGTGCGCAGGCTGGGGATTGAGATTTGCTTGCCCTTGTGCACTGCTGGCAGGGTGACTGGAGAGGATTGTGTTAGTTGAAGGGTTGAAAGTGAGAGGTGAGATATGATATGAGATGAGATGGTGTTGTGAGATGAGATGAGTGGTCCGTCATGAGGGGTGCTTATACAATGGGGATATATGCAAATGAATACAGCGTATATATATTCAAATACATATACATGTCTATCATATTATGTATATGTGAAGCCAACTTACCTCGTGGGGTAGACATGTCGTTGAAGGTCGGTCTTGGCGCCATGGCGGACTCTAAGAAGTCGCCGCTGGGCTGGAGACCATCAGGGCCTTGCTGCATGCATATCGTGCCTCCAGTGCCAATTATGAGAACTCTGGACTCTGGCAGTCCAGCGGAGCTTGGAGTGGCCATCTCGAGGTCTGGTAGAGCAAATTGACGGTTGAGTTGTGAAATTCAACTGGGGGATGAGGCAGACGCTAGTGGGAAGCAGCGAGTCGACGATAAGGAGCAAGAACAAGGTTTAGCAGCAGAATGAATCGACAGCAACCAATAGCCTGCTTCGGAAACGGCGAGATAACAAGTGATAAGCAAACAGCAACAATGTCACTCATGGATGGGAGGGTCTAGGTAGCCTTTTGTATGTACGGGATTTGTGCCCGTCCGGGGATGTCAAGCCATATAAGAGGAACATAACGACATTCTGCCTCGACGGGACTGGACGGGGGAGAGAAAAATCCAACGAGCAACATGACACCGGATCGCAGCATCATGTGGAGCCATGGCAGCGAGGTTTACGAGAGAGAAATTTTCTTTGCAAATGAAAATTCGACTGATTCGCGCTTTCGCCTGGGGCGGGCTCGTTTGGGAGGTTTTCATTACCCCCATGAAATGCGAAATAGTTTGGAGCGGGCGCAATGTGGGGAGAAGCGATGACGGAGAGGGAGCGAGAGCCTGGAGGGAGGATTCGTTCTAGAACTGACTGATTACATGCAGGTACCGCCGGGGCCTTATTGGACTGCTTCATAGTAAGATAGAGTTTGCGAGTTGCAAAGAAAGGGAGTAAGAAAGAACGTGGGTGAGTCTCTCGAAGGAAGCGCTCATGGCTGAAGACATCCAATCACTGTGTCAGCATTTCTGACGGCTGTTGGCTGACGGGAGGCAGGAGACGGTGAAATGCAGATACGGTACGTCACGGTCACAAAACGGGTAGGTAAGTAACGATGCCGCTAGTTGGGACAGCGAGCAAATGCCGGATTCTCCCCACACCGTCACCACGCAATGGCAGTGGCAGCTGTACTGTATTGCGGTCAATGGCAGTTACCAGGTCTGAATCATATTTGAGTTTCTAACCTTTTGTCTTTCATGTTATACTACGGTTAATTTAGATGGTTTCGGAACAACATTTTGGAGTCTACAATTTAGTAGCTGTGGACTTTACTTCACGTGTAGACACCCGATTAATAGTAGGTAAAATTATGTGTGGGAAGCAGTAATTAAAGGGCTACTTTGGTATTGGCCTTTGTTTTAAGAGGACAATTACCAAGATATACGAAAGCTTTCTATTTAGATGATGCGGCAGCGGACAGGTGCAGCGCCCAGCGCCGCTTTTATACCTTTGATAAGATACCAACCCCGGTGGTACTAGGTATGATTTGAAAAAGACCTCAGAAAATGAACAAATGACTTTTATAAGAAGGTTCAAAAAGTTTCAATCGATTTCCCAACTTCTCTCGCCTCATTATGAAATTTCCAACCACGTGAGATTTCGCGGGCACGCTGAGGTGGCTGGGAGCTGCCTGACAGCTGTCGGCGGCCGTAAAGTACAATAGGTGCAGCCCACTCCAATGCGGCACTAGCGCTAACCTCTATTCAGGCCGCCCGTCGTCGCGGTCCGTCAGACCAATCCAAGAGTCTCTCCCGTCCATTCGCTCTCTTCTGGGCTTTCTTTGTAAATACATAGTCCAGGATACTTATCGCGGCGACCAGGAGCTGCCGAGTTTCACTCCTCAACACCGCACTTATCCTTCGACTTGCCCTTCCCTCGTTCTCCAGGCCCGGTGCCACACACTTCGACTGCGACCACCACTTTGATTGGAGTCGCCTCCCGAACCCGATTCTGCGTTGGCAGGCAATGCTTGTCCCGTGGGCCATCAGGCTCTGAGATGACCTCGCCCAGCCGCACGCTCGAACCCACACCTTTCTAGTCTCGACGACTTCACCACCATTCCCCTACAAAGAAACAACAAAGGCGAACGTACAACATGGCTACCGAGCCAAGAGTGGTGGAGCGGACGCCCGATGGCACCTCGCCTCGAACATATGCCCTAAACCACCTGCGACCCAAGTCGAGCTTCGTCGGTTGCTCGCGCATCTCCGACTATGAGCTTTTGGGAAAGTTGGGAGAAGGAACCTTTGGGTATGATATGCGCTCGCAAACTCCCTGCGACGAGTTGGATTGCTAACCTTGCCTGTCAGTGAGGTCCACCGCGCACGATCTCGAAAGACTGGTGCCCAGGTCGCATTGAAGAAGATCATCATGCATCATGAAAAGGATGGCGTATGTGGCTATGCCTAGCTGCCCAGGTTGACTTTTTCTGACCCAAGACTTGATATAGTTCCCAATTACGGCTCTTCGCGAAATCAAGCTGCTCAAGCTGCTCTCGCACAAGAACGTGTTGAGACTCGAGGACATGGCGGTCGAGCATCCAACAAAACCAAGTAACCTCCTCCAAACTGCCGTCAATGATCTTCGTCAGTGCTAATCCCTTCGTCACAGCCGACAAGAGGAAGAAACCCATCATGTACATGGTAATGCCCTACATGGACCACGACTTATCGGGTCTCCTGGACAACCCTTCAGTTCACTTCAAGGAGGCACAGATCAAATGCTACATGCTCCAGCTACTTCAGGGTCTTCGATACCTCCACGACAACCACATCCTACATCGCGATATGAAGGCCGCCAATCTGCTCATCAGCAACCAAGGTATCCTACAAATCGCCGATTTTGGTCTGGCCAGACACTACGATGGCCCGACTCCCCAAGCCGGAAAAGACATGGGCGAAGGACGCCGCGACTACACTGGACTGGTCGTTACCAGATGGTACCGACCTCCTGAGCTGCTGCTTCAGTTGAGACAGTACACTCCCGCCATTGATGTGTGGGGTGTTGGGTCAGTTTCTTTCTTTCATCCTCTCTAAGGCGCATGCAAACTGATAATGTATGTAGATGTATCTTTGGCGAGATGTTGGTAGGCAAGCCTATCTTGGCTGGCGAGAGTGATAGCCATCAACTTGATCTCATTTGGGATCTCATGGGCTCTCCTACCGAAGAATCGATGCCAGGTTGGAAACTTCTGCCTGGTGGAGCTCATCTTTCGCCACGCCAACGGCCTGGTGTTCTTCAAAACAGATTCCGGGAGTAAGCTTCGAAGCCAAATTCAGAACTCGTGTCCTCTTTTTTTTTTCTAACATTGCATTGTGTAGATTTGGCAATGGCGCAGTGGAACTGCTCAAGGACTTGATGAGACTCGACTGGCGACGACGCATCAACGCCGTCGATGCTCTCGATCACCGCTACTTCAAGATGCAACCCTTGCCCATGGAGCCTCACGAGATCCCAAAATATGAAGAAAGCCACGAGCTGGACCGAAGAAAGTTCCACGATCGCAAGGCTAATCTTCCACCGGCCCCTAAGGGTGGCACGGTAGGTATTGGTCCAGATGCGAATGGGCCCACTGCGGGATTCAATAGCAGTGATGGCTACGGCAGCCGCAACGGCGGCGCCAATGGCCGTTACCGCGGACCTGATGAGCGCAGGCCCGATGAGCGCAGGCCCGGATGGCAGAGAGATCGGGGCCCTCCCGGTAGGCCTCCTCCTGCTCACGAGGATGAACGAGGCCCACGAAGAGGTGGCGCTGCACCCAGAGGAGGTGACATAGATACGTATATACCAAGCTACCGAGGCGAGGGCGGTGGTGGTCGGCGCGACGACCGACCACCAAGGGATGATCGACCACCAAGGGACGACCGACTTCCAAGGGATGACCGACTGCCTAGAGATGATCGACCCCCAAGAGATGACCGACGACCCAGGCCACCACCTCGGGATGAGCGGTGGCAGGAGGGGCGGCAGCAGAGCCGCAGTCGATCCCCCAGGCATGATCGGGGCCGGGAGCGAGAGCGTGAACAGAGGGATATCTATCGGCGGTGAGGAGCTGCCCCAGTTTACCCTTGGGTTCAAGCACCCCACCAACAACAAAGACGAGGGGCTGGCTTACACCAGTAAGGCGTTGGGTTATCATCTTTTGTCGTTTTATTATGGAAGCATCACGATACACCCACCATTGCCATAGGATTGACACGGCGTTGAAGGAAACAAAGGCCAGGGCGTGGATTGCCCATCCATGTTATACTAATTCTATTATGAATGCTTCACATTAGACTTGGTCTGTTCTGCTTTAGACTGAATTTCGGAGAATGTTACGAAAAAAGGGAATTAAAACCGGTTGAGACGCGGTTGCAAGGGTGACATGGATATCTATGATAGTCCAACGTTAATACTATTCAGACGAGTCGAGCTCTTCATGAATAATCTGTGATAATAGTCCAGAGGCGGGTCGCCGCCGTGCCGAGGTTGACTCGAACCACTTCAACTCCAGCTCTCCCCCCGAGGAGGATTCATCTCTACCGAACTCATCTTCTTCATCTTCATCCATATCGTCATCCTCTTCCAGATATCTCATCTTCCCACGCGACGGCTGCTCATCGAATGGACTGTCCTGCATGCCCAAGATCGAGGAGAGATAGCTTGAGAAAACAGCGAGGACGAGCCCAGTGACAACGCCAACAAAGGCAGCCACCCCGAACTGGTTGTGTTAGTGCTTAAATCGGTTTCAATAAGAGAAATAGTACTCACAAAAGTGTACAATGGCTATAAACATTGAATTCAAATGTCAGCGAACCTTGATTGCGAACAACACTATAATCCGAAGGGAATTGGTAGACTCACTGCTAGACCTGCGAAGAGACCCAAGATGGCGCGGATCCACGAGAAGATATAGGAAAAGGGATAGATGATGGGTGCGAATATAACGAGAAGGATGCGGAAGAAGTATGAGAGAGGGTATGACACGGCCTTGAGCGGGAAGATGAGGATTGAGAAGACGCGGGAGATGTAAGAGGTCCAGCGGAAGCGGACAAGGGCGCCCAGCACAGAGCCCAGCACAGAGCCCAGGACCTCGAGAACCTCAGCCATGGCGGAGGCTCGGATCAGATATCGTCAAGGGTTTTCATACAATCAATGCCTGGCAGGGTTCATTTTAGCCGGATTTGCAGCCCAAGGCGGACGGGAAGGGCCGGCGTTAGTGAAAATGGTGAAGACAGCAAAGGTATCGTGTTGTCTGGAACGCGACAGCTGCCGACACCCCAGCCGTCATTAAATGGCTTCTGACGTACATGTAGGAAGTCGCCTGCCCCTCGATTGGTCCGGTCCACCCAGCCAAATCCCTGCAAATGCACGTATATACATACACAGGCATGCAAGGACGGACAAGTATCAATCAGCTGGACAGCTGCTTATTATGAGGCAGAAATACAAATAACCAATAAAACACAGCCAAGGTGCGATGCGCGCATGTTCGAGGCCATCGCTTCAAGGGAGGACCATCAACGAGAGGAAGCAGCACTGTAGCGGCGCCTGTGTTCCCCTCTAGCGCTGTATACAGCTGCGCCGAGCCCAACACAGCGACAGCCGGCAGGTGCTCCAGGTACATCTGTTAGTGCATACCGGCTTGCAGCGACGCACCTAAACACGCGGCCAGAGATAAGATAAGGCAGCTAGCTGGGTTGGTGGGGCTACATGCCTCCGCCCACAAGCCGCGAAGGTTCAAGACCAAGATATAAGACGACTGGATCCGGTAGCTTGCTTTACCCGTTCTTCGCCTCGCGAGAGAGTCTCTGGCGACCGTCAAACCGTCAAGGCCCGCAGTGCTGCCCAACGGGACATCCGCTGCATGTGCCACGACACTCGGCTTCTCCCAGCCAGCTTCCGAAATTTCTCTTCCTACCCAATCGGGCGAATTGCAGCTCGTCCTGGATTGCATATGCCGCCCACATCTCGACTGTTCTGCTACTCCATCCCAACCGATCGGCGCTAAAGACGCAGCCAGAGCTCCAGAATCCAGACGGGACATCCGACTTGGGCTCTGACTGGGCATTACACCACGCATCGGCTCCGCATCACACGACTCTAGCCCTCGTGCTCGTCTGGTCGTTTGTGATTCTCGGCCCATTGCAGCCATCCAAGCTTGTTTTGCTGCCCTCCCCACCCCCGCCTAATATCTCCCCTCTCCCAGCCAGCCCTCGAGACGACAGAGAGCACCATGGGTAACCATCCCTCCACATCTTCCAAAGGCGGCACGCCGACCTCCTCCCAGGCGGCTCCGTCAAATTCCGGTGCCTCGACCCCCGGCCAAGAGTCGCAGTCACCGCGTGGGAGCCGCAGAGACACCCGGAACATCATCCATCCAGTCCAACGGTCTGCTGCACCACCCGAGGCCTCATTGGCCCAGGCCCAGGGCTCAACCGTCGTGAGCAGGCCCAAGAGTCTGTCGGGCACCGCCGTCTCCTCCCTCAGCGGCTCACCACACAGCACCGTCTCGACTCCAGCCAACAGCCACAAGGACAGCAGCAACATGGCCAAGCCGGCCGAGCCTCGACCGATACACCACGAACCCTCCAAGCCCGTCGCCGTCCCCATCGAGTCGGGCTCCCAGATCCCCAACCAGCCCCACGCCCACTACAACTCGGACACGGCCGCCCAGGGCGACCCGCGCCTCCTGTCCAACGGCAGCGTCACGGACATCACGTACCTGACCCATCCGCCCCGTCTGCCTCTTCCCATCCAGGAGGAGCTGCACACGCCTGGGTCGCCCATATTGGCTCCGGACGAGGGGCCCGCCGACGTCGGGGAGCTGGGGGATATCAGTGACTCGCTCACGAGGAAGAGCTCTGGTCTGAGCGCCGGCACGGTTGAGGAGGAGGAGTCCGAGGAGCTGCGAGTCGACAAGACTCGACCCGTCGTGCCGACCAAGCTCGAGTGGAAGCAGGGAGGAGACAAGGTCTATGTCACCGGTTCCATCTTTCAATGGAATCGAAAGCAGCGGCTGCACCCTGTGTAAGTCTTGCCCTCCCCTCACCCCGTGCTCTTGCGACTCTGTTATCAAGAAGACGTCCGTCTCGGTTGGGTACATACGTTGTGGTACAGTGGCTTATATTGTCTTGTCCTACGTCATTATCTTTCTGTTCGTCTTGTACATCTTGAGGAGGTCAAAGACAGTCGGAATACGGGGTGAGACTCGCCCATTATGGACATTCACAACTAACAATGGTTTTCACAGAGAGGGCAAGCCCGGCTGCTTTGCCGCCACTATTCATGTCCTTCCCGGAACGCACCATGTTCGGTTCTTGGTTGATGGAGTCATGCAAACCACGCCAGATTTACCAACAACTGTGGACTTCGGCAACAATCTCGTAAACTATATCGAGGTCAGCCCTGATGACGCTCAGCAACAAAAGCAGGCAGCCGCCTCCCAAAAGGCAGACACCGCGGAGGTTGAGAACAGAGCATCACGATCGGCATCACAATCCACAGAGCAGCCCAAAGTGCCAAAGCACAGGCCAATTCTCCCCCCAGAGGCGTATCGCTGCGAGATTCCAGAGTACCTTCAAGACTTTGACCAGGCCGAGGACTCCCCAGCCTACCAGAACGCCGTTGCTGCGATTGAGAAGCTTGTCACCCCACCCAGTCTGCCTGGCTTCTTGGGTAAACCAATCTTGAATGCAGCCGTCCTCATGAAGGATGACAACAGCGTCCTGAACATGCCCAATCATACTGTTCTCAACCACCTGGCTACAAGCAGCATCAAAAACGGTATCCTGGCCGTTTCGGCTACTACACGTTACAGGAACAAGGTGAGAGATCGGCACTATCTGTTTAAACGTCTGTCAACGACCTTAAGCTAACCTTATGTGCAGTATGTGACAACGATTATTTACAAGCCCACGGGAGCTGAGGATTAGCCGGGGCTACACCGTTAAAGTCAACATGAAATGTATTTATGAAACTGGGTATCAATGATCATACTGCTTCACGGCAGCAGAGGTGGCAATGAATTTAGCTTTTTTTCTCATCTATTTGGAGGTAAATGCGCGGGTTCGGATGCCCCTGGAGTTAGAATATTTCGCGGTAGGTTAAACGGCGGAGGTGTTGGTCAAACGTAGCATATCATCGGCAGGTTGTTTCCATACACATACACACTGATATCATACTGGGCGGGCAAGCTCATTTTTGTCATTTTTTTCCATACCTGATGTTATTTCTGTGTTTTTTTTTTCTCTTCATTATTCATCACATCCTCAGTCCCTCCACTCTACAAACACCTCGTCGGTTCTGAACCGCTGGGTGCATGTACTCTCCTCAATCGGGGTCGTGTACCCGCATCTGAAGGCCCGCAGGCCGGCGTGGGCGATCATGATGCCATTGTCGATGCAGAACCGCTCGTCGGTGGCGAAGACGCTCCCGCCGCGCTCCCTGGCCATCTCGCCCATCATCTGCTGCAGCCTCTCGTTGCTGCCCACGCCGCCGACGACGAGGACCTGGCTGCTGCCGACGTGGGCCATGGCGCGCTCGGTGATCTCGACGAGCATGGCGTAGACGGTCTCCTGCAGCGAGAAGCAGAGGTCCTCCGGGGTGAAGTCTGCCTTGCCCGCGAACATCTGCGCGGCGAGGGCGTCGGCGGCGGCTAGGATCCCCGAGAAGGAGCAGTCCATGCCCTTGACAGCGTAGGGCAGCTCGACGAGCCGTGACCCTTTCTTGGCGAGCTGCTCGATGTTGTACCCCGGGGCCGGGTCGTTGCTGATGCGCAGGGTGCGGGCGAAGCGGTCGAGGCAGTTGCCCACGGCGATGTCGAGGGTCTCGCCGAAGATGCGGTAGCGCTGCTCGGCGTAGGCGATGACCTGGGAGTTGCCGCCGCTGACGTAGAGGACGACGGGGTTGTCGGCGCCCGTGATCTCACGGCCCATCTCGATGTGGCCGACGCAGTGGTTGACGCCGACGAGGGGCTTCCCCCAGAGGAGGGAGAGGGCGCGGGCGGCGACGGCGACGGAGGTCAGGGGGGCGCCCATCCCGGGGCCCTGGGTGAAGCAGACGCAGTCGACGTCGGCTGGGGAGACGGCGGCCTCGGCGAGGGCGGCGCGGGCGAGGGAGACGAAGTGGGAGCGGTGGTGGGCGGCCGTGTCCTTGGGGAGGAAGCCGGTTCCCGGGGGGGAGACGAAGGTGTGGCGGAGGTTGGAGAGGATGGTGGTCTTGGTGGGAGTGTGGAGGATGACGCCGATGCCCAGCTTGTTGGCCGAGCCCTCGCAGCCGATGGCGATCCACGACTCCTTAGGTGCCATGTTTAGGGTGTGTGAGTGTTCTACTATGTGTCTGAGATGCTCTTTGGCCGGATTTGGGGCCAGGCGGTTCTCTATATGGAGGATGCTGTAGTCTATGAACCAAGATGGAGGGGCTAAATTTTTCAAACCTCAGTATTCTCCAGCTTCTGAGAGGACGGATAGCGGGAATAGAACAGGATTCAGTAGCGGTGGACTTGGAAATTCAAAATCAGATATGAGAACAAATCATGAACCGTGCTGCAGACCTTGGCTGGCTCAATCGCACTCCCCATCCGTCGTCGTTTGTGAGCTCCGACATCCCACCTCTAGCCCAGTGAGGTTATCGCTGATAAAGGTCCATCGCGGGGCAGCCAAGCTTCAAAAGGCTGCTTAGTCACTCTGACCTTGGGCCCCAGTTCCTTCTAACCTTCTTGCCTGCACCATGCAGGCCGTCGCACACGCAGAAAAAAGGTACGTAGCCCACGTACCCATGCGGATGGTCACAGGGGCCGTCGGCGGCTCCTACAAGCTCTCTCTAACTGGTTCGGGGTGGTCCTGGTTTTGATCACACAACGGGAAATCCTCCCCCATATTTGGAACAAGTCAGTCGGCCGTCTTCCCTTCACCTGCATCGGCTTGCCAGTTCTCTCACCACCACCGCTCAAAAGCTTTCTTGTGGCCTGTTTGTCCATTGCTTGCTTCTCGCAGTGGATCACTCTTGCTCCTTTGCTTTTTTTTACTGATTCGCTTCTTTTCTTCCCTTCCTTTTGCTCGGCTGGTCACTAGCATCTTTGCCGACGACCCTGGTGCCTTTTGCTCCTGGAATATCTTCATAATCCTTCCACGTCAGGCAACGCTCCCAATCCGCTCCCCCTTTGCTCTTCTCTTCTCCCTCGATAAATACTGGCTCTTCATGCGATCATCTACCGAGCCATGCACTTTTTTTCCCTCCCCATTTACCCCATACCTCAAGGCGAAGCTATCCTAACCGCAGCCTTCCCCCGCTCAAAACCACACCACGCACGGGGACTCGTCACAAATCTTCAAGGACAATCTTCAAGCAACGTCTTCCGAGACATGAACATCCTTGGTGGTCCACAACGGACCAGATTTTACTTTATTTGGTTTAGCTATATACTTGACTGACGTTTTCCTTCGTGGGCCTGCTCAGCTTCTAATACGCCAAAATCCCGATCCCCAACTCCGCGCAATGCCCGATTCCCACGATTATAAAATACTATACATCTCGACCATCTCCTGCTCACAGCGATGCCTCAAAACTGCTCACACTTCGATCCTCTCCCGCAACAAATCAGGGTATATACATTCATCGACCGATATCATACAACAAGAAAAAGACAAGTGGGGGTGGGCGATTAAGATGGTTCACGATGCCGCTTGAGTCGGCTGCATTTGCTGCGCCTTCTGCACTTGTTGAGCCTGCGCTGCTTGTGCGGCCTGTGCGGCCTGTGCGGCTTGCGCCGCTTGGGCTGCCTGCGCCGGCGGCAATGCTCTGTGCCCATTTGGCCCGTTTCCGCTGGGCGCCATATCTGGGCGCCTACCGAAGATAAATGGGCTGAGTGGAATCGTCGCTCTGAACTTCAGGGCACGAGTGTCAAATGGGTCGATTTCATACTCGGTCTGTTCGTCATCGTCCGAGTCTGAGTCGTACTTCCAACGATCACCATAATCGCTGTTGTCTCTCTTGGACGGGGATGCCAACCCTCTTCGGTCAATCCAAAGACGATTCAAGCGTCCTATACGGCGACGGAAGGCTGGATGGCTAGGCTGAGCATGCTCACTATGACCGCCTGCTTTGAACTGGAACACGGGAAGTCGGTCAAGGGCCATGGGCTCAGGGCCTCCTTCTTGGTCGACATCCATTTCGTCCGATACCGATGCAGGCGGCGTCATCAAGTACTGGGTTTTGGCAGGTCGGAACTTCAGTTCCGTTCCCTGCTCCTTTACTGGCGACAGAGGCCCGCGAGTGAGATCGATATGGTTTGCATTCCACTTGCGGTGGTTTTGGACCTTCATCTCAATATCGGTACGGAACTCATTCTCCTTTTCAGCTTGTCTTTCAACCAACGATACAAGATCGGAGTCGACCGTTCGGCCATCTGCGCGCACAGGCATGGTTCGCAAATGGGTCCCAGGAGGCCTGTTCATCACGGGTGCTTCTGAGATCTTACGCTTCTGCGGCTGTGGGTGGAGAGTTAGCATCAAGTGATCAAACCTTATGGATAAGTGTCCATGAGAGCGTACCTTTTGGTTGATGAGATCTTCATCGCCTTCTTTAATGCCAAGCTTGATCTTCATCTGTTTCAAGCGCGCGCGTTCTTCAAAGATAGCCCTATCCGCATTCAGGAGCTCTCGTTTCATTATCTCACGCTCAGCAGTAAGTACCACCAATTGGCGGCCATCCTCGAGCTCTCGGCGAAGTTTCTTGAGAGTGTCTGCTACCTTGGTGTCACGAGCACGGGTCTTTCTGGTCTGGCGGGCCTCTCTTCGGCGGAAGCACACATAAGGATCGGTATCATCACTGTCCTGGTGTGTTTCGAACTTGAGAGAAGCGTGGAGCGGTTTGTTTCCCCCCTCTTGCCTCCTCGATTTCCAATATTCATATATGGCTTTAGCATGTTGCAGAATCGATTGGGATTCCAATTGGTTCAGCCCTGCAGCCATCATTTCATAGGGGACGACAGTGTTGTCCACTGATGCAAAGGGTGTCTGTTCTGCAGCAGTGTCCTCGAACAGTTCCATAATATGTTCGAAGTCATCTTCGGATAAAGGTCCCGAAGATGGAGCTTTGCTGTTATATTCTTTGAGAAATACATCATCCTCGGCCGTCATGTCATAAAGACAGCTGATACATTCTTCTACCGTTTGCGAGAATCGAATGTAGGACGATGGTTGGTGATACTGACTTGGGTATAGGTCATTATAGTCGATCTCGCTCTCCTGTGGAGGCGGGACCGGGATTTCTTGGTCATTGCTGGTTCCGGCATCTTTGAGAATGGTTTGCAAGTGATATTCCTATGCGAACAAGCAAGGTTAGCAGCCGTATACGGTTTGCGCATTGCAGTGATGAAGTGGTTGTCCATGGTGATTGGATGCAGGGGTCCGTGCCAAGCGATATCACGTGCGAGTGCACGTGATATCGCGATGCTCTGACTATGGCGAAAACAACTCACATTTTCCTCAGCCTGCTCGACACCGGTCGCGATTTGGGTCTCGGTTGAGAGTGCCTCGTACTCGGAAGGGTCGATTTGATCCTCTCTGAGCACTGGAAGGCCAGTTTTGACACTCAACTTCTTGACCCGAACCTTACGGGACGACATGGTGCAAGGGTGGTAGAGAGAGGCAGTTAGCCAGCGGAAAATCCGCAAAAAAAGGCGATCAAGTCATAAAAGAGGGTGTGCAGGATCGCCCTGTGCAAAAATTGTGATGAAAAAGGTGGTTTTGGGGGCTCTTTTCGATGGTCAAAATGTCGGCGGCAGATGAGGTGACGTTGGGATTGTTTTGCCTCGCGAAGATTTTTCGCTGGTGCAGGCGTGGAAGATTGCGGGCGATTTGATGGCCACTTGGCCAGTGCTAAGTCACTCGTACGCCAGATTTGGCACGTAAGATACATGTGAGGCGCTCGGACCACTCTCCCCTATTGCCAGTCCGCTAGGCTTCCCCTAAAGCGTGAGGCGCCTGAGTGCTACCCCCTCTTCCCTCCTGCCCCACTCCTCACCCTCATAGACCGTGCTGGAACCAGTTAGTAAGGCGCCGCCATGGCCAACCAGTAATTGCCTGATCCCCCCAATCCATCCCCATACTGTTGTGCACATCCTCCGCCAAACACATGGAGCTAGACTAGCACCAATGGCAACCGGAATCGGCCACTACTGGGCCATGAAGCTTTCGCATTGGCCTACTAATGGCCAGACCAGCGTGATCACATAACAGCCCTCGTTTTTAAAGTTTGATACGATTATGCGGTCGCGTTCTCTGTTTTCATCGCGGGAAACGTCTCCTCGGCGACGGAGAAATTGCACTAAAGTCCAGAGGTCCCCGCTAGGTAGTTCATAATGCTGAATGATACAACCTCATTGGAGTTGGCTCTTGGTCCACACAACAACCTACCCTATACGCATCTCAAGGTGGTAGCTGTTGACCTGTTATCAACCTGCTAGGTCTCTTGGTGTAGTAGTATTGGCTTACTGGATGTACGCAAATGTGATAATTGCTTTGATTTGCACTTTCATGTCACATTTTCCGAGGTCTTGGAGGTAATCCATCCTTCTGCATTCTTGTGGCTGCTGCAAATGCAAACTCCCATCTCTATCTGCATTTTGTCTAAATGTTGGGTTTTGCCAAACCGCGTGCAAAAATAAAGGTGCACTATTCCGAGACATTGAGACCTTTGTGTGACAGTCTGCAAACATTGGCATTCATAATTAGGTACACATAGATCGAGATGCGGTGATGCTGCTCGGTAAATTAGCAGGTGCGGCGCATCACCGCTGGTTGCCTTCTCTGGGAAGAGATGGTCCGTGCACCAGCTGACACCTCGACTGCCCCTCCACCATCAAAGTTGCCCCCAGAGGTCTCAATATTACAACTCCATCCAGCAGCCCTATCAACTCCCGCCACTCTTGCCCGACAACTGCTGGCTCACGCGACCACTCGACGGCCCACGAAGCGATCTCTCGAGACACAGCACAACCGATTATATCAAATTAAAGCTTCCAGCCAAGTAGTTTGTCCGAGCCACGAGCAGCGAAAAAAAGATGGGCAACACGACCAGTAGCGTCCTGGACAATATCGTCCAAGGGTCCAACTGTTAGCCTTGCCTACCCCATCAATGAACGTTGCACACACGGGATTTCTGACTCGAGAATGCAGTCGACAGAGAGGAAGTTGACCGCCTGCGGAAACGGTTCATGAAGCTCGACAGAGTATGCTGGTGCCCCCCTTCTCGACTCCAAGACCATCCCCCTGTCCAGCTCCTGCTGACTGACACGAACCCCCTCAGGACAACTCTGGCACGATCGAGCGCGAGGAGTTTCTGAGCCTGCCGCAGATTTCCTCCAACCCTCTTGCGACACGGTGCGTCTAGATCCTTGGGCTCGATGGATGTGACCGCACAAGCTAACAGCGTTGCAAGTATGATTGCTATCTTCGACGAGGACGGTGGCGGTGACGTCGACTTCGAGGAGTTCGTCAGCGGTCTCAGCGCCTTCAGCGCCAAGGGAAACAAGGAGCAGAAGCTGCAGTTTGCCTTCAAGGTCTACGACATCGACCGGGACGGGTACATCAGCAACGGCGAGCTGTTCATCGTGCTGAAGATGATGGTGGGTAGCAACCTCAAGGACCAGCAGTTGCAGCAGATCGTGGACAAGACCATCATGGAGGCGGACCTGGACGGCGATGGGAAGATTAGCTTTGAGGAGTTCACCAAGATGGTGGAAAGCACGGACGTGAGCATGAGCATGACTCTAGGTATGTCCGCCCCGATCCCATCCTGGACTGAATACTATGCTAACAGTGCACGTCCACAGACCAGTTCTAGTATATTTCAGGAGAGCGCGTTTTGGCAGGCCAAAATGGGGGCTACTTGTATATGGCACCATGCCATTTATTCACGATAATGACAATTCGATTCAAAACTTTCAGTTGCCAACTCCCCCTAGCCTGTGAAAGGCTTTTGACGACATAGTACTTGCCGTGGTATCTTCCATTTCATCTCTTACTTTTGTGTCGCCCAAGTATTCAGAGTCTTATTGGGCTTCACTGCCATGGTTGTAGCCAAGACGAAGGTCATAACTAGTTTCAATACTTCTTGAATGACTGCTATGGGAGGATCTCACGCCGACGATTTCGCGAATTCGGCTGTCTCGCTGGAGACCTGCAGACATGGCATGTTTGCCTACTCATGCGATTGTAGATAACATCTATTAAGCGAGGCCCGTTATCAATCATCAACCAATAGGCTGTTGTGCACGGGTTGGCTGCTAAGCTTAACCTACTCTGTTTCAGACCCCTTCAAAGAGGAGGACTTAACATAAAGATGTAACAAGAACTGGAAACTACAGCCGCGGGCTGGCTTTCCTCGAAACCAAGTGTAATTCGATGTAAAAATTTGATAGCCATCGAAATGGACTCTGCGATAGTATTTTGCATCGGATGGCACTTTGTTTCAAGGAAAGCCAGCCAGTGGCTGTAGTTTGCACTCTTTATGCTATTCATATCTAAAACCCACTCTTTGAAGGTGTCAGTTCTCGTAAGAATTCACCTAATGTTTGGTGCTGTATTTGTGGCTAGGTCAAGTTCAGAGCAGATCAGGCGAGATTTGATGGCAAGCGCAGGCTCGGTGGGATGTTTGAAGTTTTGGCAAGAGGACTTGGGTGTTTTTTTTTTTTTCAACTGCCTCGAAGGCAAAACCTTGACGTAGCTGAATCGTCAGTGGAGCGGCGAAGGTAGTGATGTTAGTTGACTGGTCTATGACGACGAAGGCAGCGATTTTGCGAAATAGACGGATTGTCGATGTGGACTTGAGCTGTGCGGTTCAGTCAGGCCGGGGATGACAGCCTTTAAATAGATGAAAAGCAGCCATTTTAAGGTTCATGAAAGGAGTCACGCCGACAAAAGAGCCATTATGCCGGGCATAAGCCATTGTTGGTGTTGAACTTTACATACGGACGGGGATGGCGGTCTTCAGATAGATAGAAAGCAGCATTTTAAGGTTCATAAAAGGAGTCACGCCGATAAAAGAGTTATTATGCCGGGAAAGGAGACTGGAATTTAAGGTATTATGGTACTGGGAATAGTGTTAAGTTGTTGAATTCTTGGTGTTCAGGAATGTCCCTCCCCCCAAGCAGCTGCCGTATAACTGTATAGCTCTCTCACCCACCTACTACTCCGTTCCGGAAAGCCTCGTGATCCGAACTCATAGGGATACTGAATAAGATGAATTGTTCTCGACGGAAACTCAAAGTATCAATCCTGACCAGCTCACTCCTATCCCTTCCTCGCTATGGCATCGAGCAATGGTTCCATCCATTGGGATATCCAACCGCGAGAAAAGACCTCCCACAATAACTTCAAGTCATACATGATACTTTATTCATAGCGCATAGGCATAATTTAATGATGTTACGTGGCGCACCCAGCAGTCTCAGCCGAATCCATATCACGGCTCATAACTACAACGCAGTGACATGGAACTACAACAAGATACTTGCGTTTCCTCAATCAAGTAGCCTTCTTGCCCCAAATAGTCTTGAGAATCCGCCTCTAGCTCCAAGCGTCACACTCGCTTCGACTTCCGCCACATGCCCCAGTCATTCTGAGAGACACGGCACCTCGATACCCGGCTGGTTGGGCTATCTGAACACGTTGGGCTGGAACCTACAGCACCAACTGAGACCTTCGCCAAGTCGCATGGGGCGAGTCGTCTAAGAACCGAAACCACACCAAGAAGCAAAAAAGAACCCCCCCAGAAAAAGGAATTAAAATTAATAAAGCTACGGTGGGATCCATTGAATGAGACTTCAGACAACTAATATATCACTCGATGTGACACTATCTCTTATGCATGCAGGTGCCTTCTCCAGTCATCGCTGTGCCGATCATGGTGCGCCACAGTAGTCTGGCTAATGGGACCCTCTCCATGTCTCTGTCAAAAAAGCTCCCCTTACCCTCCCCCTTTCCCACCAGCTTGGGATGAACTGGACTGAAACAGTTAAGAGGCTAATCTCAGGCAGGGATGGCATCCCTGGACCGGGGGTGGCAGAGAGACCATGTCTTATGGCTGGGTAGCCAGGAACACTCGTAGCCTGTGGGTGCGAGGTGAGGCTGTTCCGTCATATCGTGAAGTTTCTGCCCTGAGTTGAATCCGTTGGTTGCTGTTGGATCTATTGATGTCGCATCTTTAGAGGTAAGGCTTCGGGTGGCGACCCGTGTAAGTCAAACACGGAGCGAGGATCGAGAACGCCTCACTGATCTTCCTCGGGGCTGTCATAAATTGATGTGCAAATACCCCAGCTGTATGCATGTCTTGATCGATCATTTTCCCCTTTCACCCCTTCTCCCCGCCCCTTATCTCGGCTCCATGCGGACGCCCACCCACCAGATGCAAGAGAAGGTTTAGCTGACAGAAATACAATCGAAAAACCTGCTGGAGGATGGGGGTGTGCAGGTACATGTCACATACCCTTCAGCCCAATCAAGCCAGAATGAACCCGGACGTTTGGCAGGGGTGGGTTTAGGGTCTGAAGCGTTGATGTACTGGTACAAACGGCAAGATGTATGTGAATGTGACATGTCATATTCAGCTATCGCGCGCTTCACCCAGGGGTCAGCAGCCAGGGAGATCTACGACAACCCAGTAAAAGGGCCTGGAAAAATGAGCGATCCCTAGTCTCCGATGGATGTGCAATTTTGAATTTGGACGCTGTCAAATTTGCATCTCGAAGCTTTTTGGATCCTCGAACAGGGTACGGGCTCAACAAGGGTATGCATATAAATAAGTATGATCTGATATGACTATGACCTGTGTTTAATAGAGCCATTAGCACAATATCACGAGCATTAATTGAGGGACATGACTAATAAGTGTGTGTAACCTATTGTCCAATGCGGGCTGCGCAATACAATATGATTGGGAGTTTCTGTCAACCAACAGTGCAGCTGAGGCAAAGCTCTGAAAAAGGAAGCATCGGGGAACCCTAATTGGTTGCCAGCATGTCAATCCTGGAGAACAGGGGAAGTTGTCGGTCCCTTCCGTTAATACGCAGCGCGCGTAGCCAACAAGCAGGGTCGGAAACTCGGGATGCCAATTCAATTGTGCTTACCCCTCCTCTAGGTGCAGCCTCACTCGACTTGAATATGCGCATGATGGCGGAGGTGGCCGATGGGGGCCTTGATTGATGAGCCTGTACTGTATCACATGTATACAAGGGTCGCACAAATTATCATGAAAGCTTCATCATAGATTTGACATGATGACTCAAAAACTTACACTAAGTGGAAATCCCTGACAAGTCTGGCTTGTGGTGGCTGCATTCATGGCCTAGCCGAGGTGCCTCGAGATCGCCGTATAATATTGAATACCTGTCACATTGTGGCGGTTTGCTTCTGAGCTGTCCTTCGGACAAATCGGAGACTTTCCCTCTGGAGAAAAGGGGCAAAGGAAAAGTAAGGCCGAGTCTGGTGGTAATGGAATAGGTTTTGCTTTTTCCCCCAGCTGATTCGCCTTCCTTTTTGAATCGTGCTTTCCAGTTGGCTGGATAACGGCTAGCGTTCTGAGCACAGCCTAAGAACGCTGCTCAGCCGGCTATTTCGCTTCGTTCAGCTTCCAGAGCTCCAAGATTCGTCAAACGCCTGTTGTGGTCAGCCATCTCGAAACTAACAAGGCAGTAGCCTCGAAAACAAAGACTCGGCTAGGAAGGGTAGCAGCAGTAGCGCAATAATGTGACCAGTTATGTGTGCAAGTTCGGGTCCCCTCGCACACCCAACCTTTACCCCGTGCCTTCTTGGCTGTTGGTTTGGGGTGTCTGCCAAGCAACCAACATGAAGCCTTATCCGCCATACTCCTCTGAAGCGCTGAGGCGGATGGATTAGCATACTACTACGTAGCAGTAGCGGCTGGGTAGCCTTGGTGGCTCTGTGTTCAGCCTCTTGGGGATATTCCTTTTGCCACAACCAGCCATAAGTGGGCCTGTTTCCATTGCCTAACTTTCGATGGTTGGACGAGGGTGGTTTGGGATCTCTTGAGGGGTTCGTGTCAGGCTGTGAAATGGCACCATCCTGACGCAATTGGGCAAGCAGGTCGATTCTCTATGTAAGCCACTTTTCGAGTGATCTTCAGTGACATGCTCGAACTGGTAAAGCTCCCGCTGCCGTTGGGAGAAAATGCCACCATGTGTTTGGCAGCAAGATTTGTCTGGGGTCAGTGAGAACCCCCCCGGGCGGGTGATAGAGGAAGAGAGAGAGAGATGGAACAATGTTACGAGTAGAGGTTTGAGGGTGTGCCCGATAATTACAAGCTCAATGCCCAAGTGGCAAGTCTGACACAAATTGACAATCAAGGGGCGCTCGCCAAGCTGGAATAGGGCATTGCATTGCACGTCCTGCCAGCATAGATAGCACGTAGGTAGATGCGAGAAGCTTGGGTAGAATCTTAAAGGCGGGATTGGTGAATCTGATTCGAGGCCAGCATTCGGGGTCCGTTCCAGCCAAGCCGAGACGGAAGTTGGTTGGCCAGAGAGCTCCTTCCTTCCTTCCAACTCACTCACCCGTGCGGTTTGACATGATGGCAGGAAACAGACCCCGAGGAAAGAACTGGCCGTAAAACGCCCAATGACCCATCTCACACGCATCTTCCACGTCATGGCTGGGAAGGAGCGACAGGCTGTTTGCCCCCATCGTGGCTTCCTGTTGGCTGCGTCCCCAGCACCCACCGCGTAGTCTCGATCCTGCATTACAGCACACTGAACCACCTCTGATCCGAGCGCAGGGATTTTTTTCTCCTTCGGCAGCCTCGCGACTTCGCCTTCTTATCCATTCCCC